TAACACTAACCTGCATATCATGATACTACACCAGTTTCGTATTTGATGTTAAGGACTCCAGCTGAGGAATCCTTAACATCCTCATCCAACTCAGTCCCAGAACTGTCAACAACCTTCACTCCTTCTGTTACAGCTGGCAGGCCAAATTTTGTAGATGCTAGAGAAAAAGACAAATGTTTGTGTAAATCACAATTATGAGGTGATGTTGCTCTAATACTCACTAATACTATGTGCATAGACTCTGGAACATTGCTTTTGAAAAAACAATGTGTGACGTAATATTACAAGCACATAGCTTCCTGTTGAGCTTGATTAATACCGGTGTCTTACCTGTAATCAAAAAGTCCTTCAGAAATGGCTCGCGATCAGCAACTTTTGCTGATTTGCTTGTTTTAATCAATATGGTACCTGCAACACATAATTCCTGTCATTCACCTTAAGTACTGGAATGCTTTCAATTTGTAAAACATGTGCCAACTGCTTCAAAAGTTAATACAACTTATATTACATTGCTTACACAGAACATAATGAATAAAGTTTACACATTAATATGTCTTGGGTGCAAAGTGATTTGACTTCATGGGACTCATCAAGGTTATATAGTTATTGAGCACCTTTTACATTAGTAACAACTGGTACAGTTCATGAAGTCGCCTGGCTTGTTTCTCGCACCCAATTTAGTGTTAACTACAAAGCTAGCAGGATTATTAGCACCTGTTTACAGTTCCAACACTTTGGAGTCGTGACGTCAGAAGACTGTCGGTCACAAGTCACACCATCCCGCTCACAAAAATATGTCCCTCAATTGTAATTGGAAAAAAATCAAACCGTGTTAATTAAACAGATTCAACCCGAATAAAATAAAGACTAACGAAAAAAGGAGAAGAGTGGCTAACAGCTAGTTTAGAAAACTCCAGGAACCAACGCAAACAAATACCAATATGAATTTACCAGGCCCAAAAGAGGGGGGCGGGAGGCGGTTAACATTACTATTGTACTGAAAAGCCATACAGCCAACGTGAGACTTATTTTTTTCTCAACCCACACGCTTTTCTGACGTTATATAACAATTATATATAAAAAAACATAAATCCGTAATGTGGCTTGGACATGGACTTAGTCGAGTTGGACGTGCTAACATTTTAAGCTAGGCATTCACTAGGCCAGGTTAGCCGTGTAAAACTTGTTATTAAGACATCAAAACTCATGCCGGGGCACACAATAAATATTCTTGTAAAACAATTCATGTTTAAAATACAACATAAATTTGTATTATCTTATAAAAAGAAACTTACCGCAGTCGTTCAAGCAGGAGAAAAATGGTGTCCGCGCAACGGTTAGTACAACGGTTAGACTTGTTGGTTTGAGAGGAGGAGGTGGGCGGAGCTTGTCAGAGTCAAATTGACACGACGTGAATACACTCTGGAAATTTACACCAACACTAGGTGGCATTATACTCAGTCTGTTGTTGTATTAGCTCTGAAAGAGTCAATGAATTTTAACACAGCATATTTAACACTGCGAAATTTACTGTGTAAGTTTGAATAAAAAGTGATTACCTAGCCAGGATTTCCCCCACAGTATTATAAGTCTGGCGGGCCACCAGGCTTTACTTCTGACCCCACCAGGATAAGCATTGCTTATTCATTTAAGTCTTTATAAATGTTTGCGTTTTTTTAAGATTTTGTAGTTGGTGTTCAGGTATTAATCTAACCTGTAACACATCATGTAACATAATTATCAAGTGATATTTTCAAATTTCCTGTCAACTATTAAGTATTTTTTAACTCAAAAACACAACAGGCCGCTGGATGAATAACTCAACCACCGGACTTAGCAAGTTTTCTGTGGGAAACATTGCCACTAATACCACTGCCATAAACAAACTGTTAATTTTGCACAAAATGCATAACTTATTAAAACCAATTCTTGCTGACTAAAATTGTGAATTTATTACTAAAATACATCATTTAATACCTCTTTTATGTTACATGTTGGCATCTTATTATTGTGAATTTGAAGACGTAACTTTAAATGTACAAACTAAATGTTAAAGTGAGCAGAAATAAACCTGTGACCCCCACAAATCCAGTTCAAATTTAAACAATTTTAAACCAAACTTTAATGGCATCAGAACATTTTCTTATATTAACTCTTTATTAAAGTAAATAAATCTGCACAAAATGTTGCTGTAGAAGGATAATGGATATAAAATGATCCGTATCGTCTCACTCGTCGCTTCAACTTCAAGCTTGTAACCATGCCAACATCTCTTCAAGGACTAGTCTCCTAAATCCATGGTGGGCAGAAAAGCTCTTTAAAGAGTCCTTCCATATCAAACAGTCAACAGTGACTTTTCTCCACCCCGAGTGTTTGCAGCATTCGACTACTTTTCTCATGTGCAGCACTTTGAAACTGTTAGTCTCCATTTTTCATTTCTGTTTTCGTAACTTCGTTGCCTACTGAAATGAATGTCACGTACATCACTCTTGACGGTCACGTAGAGGTGGATAAATACCGATATGTCTACTTCATTATCATGTTTACAGGTTATGTTTTGATCCTGTCCTTCAATTCCACAGTGTTTTGCCTGATTGTGATCCACAGAAACCTCCATGAGCCCATGTATGTTTTCATTGCTGCTCTGCTGATGAACTCCATGCTTTTCAGCACCGTGGTCTACCCCAAGCTTTTGATCGACTTTTTATCTGAAAAACAGATCATAGCTTATGAAGCGTGTATCCTTCAGACTTTTTTATTCTACTCTTTCAGTGGTTCAGAATTTTTACTTTTGGCTGCAATGGCTTATGACAGATATGTGGCCATATGTAAACCTCTGCAATATCCAACCATGATGAGAAAAACAAAAGTGAGGAGCTTCCTCATCTTGGCATGGCTTGTGCCTGCCTGCCATTTAGCTGTGGGTGTGATTATATTTGCTCATTTGAAACTCTGTCACTTCACTTTGAAAGGCATTTTTTGCAACAATTCAATGAATTATCTTCTCTGCGTGGCTTCAAGAGCGATAATGATCTACGGCTTAGTGATTTTATTCAACGTTAGCCTTCTTCCGGTGGTTTTTATATTGTTTACTTACACAATGATATTTATAGTGGCCTATAGAAGCTGTGGGGAAGTGAGGAAAAAAGCTGCACAGACATGTTTGCCTCACCTGCTGGTTTTAATCAACTACTTCTGTTTGCTCACTTATGATGTGATTATTGTCCGTTTAGAATCTGATATTTCAACAACTGCGCGTTTCATAATGACATTGCAAATAATAATGTATAATCCTCTTTTTAATCCAGTCATATATGGACTGAAAGTGGGAGAAATTCACAAACACCTGAGGCGCTTGCTCTGTCACACCAGAGAAACATAATCGTGGCTTTAAGCTTTCATAGTTTCTGTCTTTAGTTTTCACTCCTACTTTGTTAAGTGATAACGTTTGTCTTTTTAAAATCTGCAGGTAATGTTTTACTGTCAAAGAGTACCAGTGTTTCTCTGATTCATCGGAAAGCTTATGTGCCTGCTCGTTGTTCTTTCTCAAGTTTTATTTCAAAGCCGGAGACAAAACGTTCCACCGTTAAGAAGACACCTTTAGCAGCTCAATCTGATGTTCTACACAGCTCAGGAAAAGACACTCTGTCATTTCAGCTTTCATTGTTTCACATTTTACTTTGTGTGGAAATAAATTTCAACATGTGGAACAATTTTTTATTTTTAATGCCTTTAAAAAAAAAAAAAGCATTGTATTAGCCACCACTTTGTCTCAAACTGTTATTTTAGACTGTGGCTATTATTGACACTGATAAGAATGAGTCTTTGTAATCTAATATATAGTATAAAAATTGTTGAAGTGATTTCTCTCCTACGAAGGTAGAGAAATGACTTTCAGTCTCTTGTGCTTTTGCTGTTTTTTATTTTGAATAGATTTTTAAAACTTTCCAAATATTTGAATTAAGATCCATCCTTGTTTAGATTTTATCTTATATTGACAAAAGGTATTGTTTAATATTTACTACCAAAACAAAACTACTACTAGAAAATGTCTTCTTCTCACTTTGACAAAAATATTTGCTGCACATATTAACGGCTGTGTTAAAAGTGTGCTGTCTAATGTTATTGTAAAAGTTTGTTTTTTATTTATTTTTTTAAAACAAGAAAATTTGTCACGTTCCCTGAACTTTTTCACATTTTGAATGAACTCAAACAGAACACCTGTGTCGGTCATCAAGGGGATTTTTCAGACTAAAATCTATCAGAAACCTTCATTTTTTTAAGAACTTATTTTATAGGAAGTAATGATGTATGTAAAATATGACGGTATTGCAATTAAAATACTGACACGTTGGTTAAAGCTGCTGTGAGTAACTTCCATAAAAAGATCTTTTCTACATTTGTCATGAGAGTCTGAGACAGATATTCTACAAAAGGATCAAGCTCCTCCCTGTGCTGCTGTTGCTGTCTGACAAAAAATGAATGAAACATCAAGGTGAATTTCTCCCTGCCTTCGAGATGAAGCTCCTCCACAGGGCTGTGGTTTTTAGGCTTCTGCCTCACAGAGCAGCTCTCTGCCGCACTCCTGACTAGTCCTTCAGACTAGCCAGCAGCAATTAGCAAACACCTGTCAGAAAAGAACATCTGCTGTGCTCATTAGAGGAGCTGCTTCTCAGTGCAACACTGGTAAAATGTTTCTAAAGGAATAAAAGAGTAGACGGAAGCTCAATTTTAAGGCATTAAACTACATAGTTAAATTTCTCTTAAGTCATATTTGATATATATTTAACATTTTTCTGACACCTGAAGGTAACACAGTTTCTTGATTGTGCTATAAAATGTCACTTTTTGTGTGGAAAACAAGTAATACCCCCAACAGACCCCTGGCCACCCCTAGAGCCACACCACTGGAAATGGTAATTTTAAAATATAATACTTATGAGATCGGCAAAGATTTGCCAGGAAAACTGTAATTTCCGACTGTCCCTGAAGGCAGCTCGATGTCCGACGCTGTTCATTGGTATGTGGGTTCTGCTTGATCCAAAACACATCAACGGCTTTAGAGTACATTGTGGAGGAGTTTTGCAGGTATTTCCATTTCACCGCTCAGCGGTAACCGCTGTTACCTTCCTAATGAGAGGCGGCACTTGTCATACATTTCTAAAAAGAAAAAAAAAATGGTTGTGTACTGCTGCGTAGTGCCTCGTTTATTATATTAGCCATGCTAGTGCTGATAGATCGTTTTAGACAGATTCTTTTAACATATGTTTTAGTGCACATGCTGCCCTCTAATGTTTTATTTCTCCCAGCTCTTGCTTGAAATGTGTGGTAAGAATATGTGAAAAACCATTAAGTTTTATAATGTAATGTAATGTAAGTAGGCTATGTCATATGAAAGCTTTGAATTATAACCTCACTAGTTATATTAATTAATTTTAATTAATGTATTTTTAATTTAGTATTATTTTAGCTAGCTACAGAAAACTAAAAACTATAGTTTAAATAATAGTTAAAATAGTGTTGTCTCTGCCAAACAGTCATGGAGTCTAAATACCAGGCTCTTATTTTGTGTAGAGCTCAAATGAAGAGAAAAGGGAATATCTCCCAGTTCTTCTTAAAGAGGCAAAAACTAGGACCAGACAGAACCCTGCAGCAGTGACCAGGACCAGACAGAACCCTGCAGCAGTGACCAGGACCAGACAGAACCCTGCAGCAGTGACCAGGACCAGACAGAACCCTGCAGCAGTGACCAGGACCAGACAGAACCCTGCAGCAGTGACCAGGACCATACAGAACCCTGCAGCAGCGACCAGGACCAGACAGAACCCTGCAGCAGCGACCAGGACCAGACAGAACCCTGCAGCAGTGACCAGGACCAGACAGAACCCTGCAGCAGCGACCAGGACCAGACAGAACCCTGCAGCAGCGACCAGGACCAGACAGAACCCTGCAGCAGTGACCAGGACCAGACAGAACCCTGCAGCAGTGACCAGGACCAGACAGAACCCTGCAGCAGTGACCAGGACCATACAGAACCCTGCAGCAGTGACCAACCTGGAGAATCCAGCCAGGAGACTCCAGGCCAAGTGTATCACCAGCGGGTTAGAGGCTGTGACAGAGAGTTATTAAGTATTAAAATCCAATAAGCCTAATTCTAAAGATTAGCATGATACTTTTTGCATTTTTTATTGTGTCTGTTTATGCATTTCCAATTAAGTTCCAGAGAGAGATGAGGGTGATACAGATTCAGTCAGACTCTGGGGAGGAAGACAGTGAAGCAGAAGGAAATGGCACTGAACTCCCCCTACCCACACAACCTATTGCACGCCAAAAGCACCAGTTTATTTATTGTTGAGAATTTGTTTTTGGTCATATTCTGGGCTCTGAGTTTACATTTACATGTTCTCTGTTCCATAGTGCCGTTTAACGTCTTGTTTGGTCAAATCTTAATTACATAAACCATTTTAATTTGAGTGAGTGTGAGAAAATATTTGTTTCCTTTCGTTCATCATTTGTAGATGGACCCCTCTGATAAAGCCTTGCTCACCCTTTGGCCACCCCTTGAAAAAAGTCTAGCTCCGCCACTGTCCATGAGCCCATGTATATCTTTATTGCTGCTTTGTTGTTCAACTCTATCCTTTTCAGTTCTTCGATCTACCCAAAGCTTCTGATTGACTTCTTATCGGAGAAGCAGATTCTGTCTTATGAGGCTTGTCTCATTCAGGCATTTGCTTTTTACACTCTAAGCTGTTCAGAGTACTTGCTGTTAGCAGCCATGGCTTTTGACAGGTTTGTGTCGATATGTAAACCTCTGCAATATCACATGATCATGAAAAAAGGAACAGTGAGTGTTTTCCTCGTTCTGGCTTGGTTTGTGCCTGCTTGCCACACCGTTGTGCCCTTTATTGGAAATGCCAATTCCAAGCTCTGCAGCTTCACTTTGAAAGGCATTTCTTGCAACAATTCAGTGAATCAACTTTTCTGCATGGCTTCAAAAGCCTTGTTGACGTACGGCCTTGTTGTTTTATTCAACGTTGCTGTTTTTCCGATGGTTTTCCTACTCTTCACTTACACAGTTATATTTATAGTGGCCTATAGAAGCTGTGGGGAAGTGAGGAAAAAAGCTGCACAGACGTGTTTACCGCACCTGCTGGTTTTAATCAACTACTCCTGTTTGTTTGCTTATGACATGATTATTCTGAGACTGGAATCTGACATTTCAAAGGCTGTACGGTTCGTGATGACAATGTGTGTAATAATGTGCAGTCCTCTTCTTAATCCAGTCATTTACGGGCTGAAAATGAGAGAAATCTATAAACACCTGAGAAGGTTGTTCTCCCAAACGGGGACAAAGTCACTGTTTGTTTTGAGGTTTTGTCATTTTTGTCCTTCTCTTTTACCTTACTATATATACATTGATATTACCTGTCTTTAGTGTGATTCTCAGATTCAGCAGTGCTGTGCTCATTATCAATTCATCTTAATAATATTAGTCACTCTGTGTCGAATATTTGTAATAATGAAGAACAATATCTACCTTAATATGAAAGATTTTTTTGAAATCGGTTGTTCATTAAACCTAAAGAAAGCAATTTTTTCTTTTTATTTGGCCTTTCATTGTAAATATTTTTTTTAATGGATATATATCAATTATCAATGTATGTCTGTTGTGGTGTTGTACTTAAGAATGTTTTAGGACTAAAATAAATTAAAAGATAAATTCTCAAAGTCTCCCCTGTGTATTTCAAATGTTATTTAAATATTCCTTCATGATACGCTACAAAAAAAAATTATAAAGACATATGGAACAATTTTACAGTTTTGCGCTCTCCAGGGGGCGCCATTGGTTCGTACGGAGGCCTCCAGGGGACATGGGATTTTTTTTTTCTTTTGCATTCCCTCGCAATAATCTATTGATCAGTTATGCAGCATGATTGAATACTATAAGCCTTACTTACACTACAAACCTATATAAACAGAAACTTTCCATAAGTGGGAAAGAAATAAAAATACATTCTAATTTGGACTATTTCTGGGTTATTATTACATAGTAATAAGTCATAATAAGTCCCACTATTGAGGACAATAATTAAAATATAAATAGAAACATTTTTTTCTTATGTCAACATCAGACCTATGTTTTTATTCACAAACCAGTGTATAAACAAAATATTCTTTTCTATAATTTGATAGTTAGAGGCACAGATCCATGAACAACATGGAGGAAGACGAACTGAGTCATTATTAGACTGAGGGCAGTCAGACTAGTTTATTTTGGTGAATTATTATTTTTAGCTAAATATTATTAATGAGGGGCATAAGCAGGCCTCCTGACATACATATAAAAAATAGAAAAAAAAAAAAAAAACATTTTGGAAAAAAAAACCCTCAAAAAAACACACTAGGGGCATCAAGGATATAAAGGGCAGGGGCTCAAGACCCTTTTGCAGGTTTGCTTGAAAATGTCTTTATTCAGTGAAGTTTTTTTTGAAGTGGAGAGACCAGCAGCAATAACATATCACTCAAGGAAAGAGGCTTTGTGCAGCAGAATTTCTTCTAAGAGTATTTTTCCCCAAAACGGTACTCAAGGAAATATAACTAATGACGACCAATGCCATGACAGTAGAGAACAAGTGCAAAACTATGGCTATGAAAAATTCATGTGAACTTAGAACTACAGGAGATTTTAATTTAAAGCAAGTTTTTAAACAGCAGAATTACACAAAACCTCTCGATGAAATTTTATTTCTGACAACCAGTCCAAACATTTCACAAGGCCATGATGATACACAAACCCAATAAAACCAGGTCTTAGATCTCATGAACAAACCTGATCTCTGAAGTGGCAGGAATTAAAAAGAAAACACCAGAAGAAATGTTTGAAATGAATTATTTAAATACTTTGTTTCAAGGAGATGAAAGAAAGTTAGCATTTTTTAATTTTGACAGATGAGACAAAGGACGAAAATCCTCCCACATGTGAAAATCTTCTTTATGCATAACTCTCTCTGTCAAATCAGTATTATTGAAGACTAAGAGGAAAGTTGTAAATATCCGTCATTTAATTAGCATGAGGTTAATCAAGTTTTCAGTTTCACCTCCCACATCCAGACCTGATCGCTACCAGAAATTTCAAATAGGGAAATCACAACTATAGAACCAGTCTGACAGCATGAAGTAGGGTAAAAATAAAAAGAAAACATACAAAACAACATAATCTAAAGGAATTTAGATTATGTTTGATTCCTTAGATTATATTAGTCCTTAGATTATATTCTTTGATATGTAGCAATCTGGAATTGGTAACAAACCAATTTCTGAAGTTTTCTTGACTCCACAGATAGGGCTCTTATCCATAAATCCAGAAATTATGACAGCGTTGGAAAACCACTGCTGATCAAAAGTCCTGCCTGACCCTCCCCCAAAACAACATTTTCTTTCTTCTTCTGATTCCTAAACCTTTGGTGAGGATCTTATTCTGACCCAAGGAGAGAATAGTGAAATCCTTTAAGTGTGGCCCCTTACATCTGACTTCGAACCAACACAGAGCTGGAGTCAAATTTCACCAGTACTGCAGCAATTTCCAGCAAAACACCTTTTAAAAGAACATTAACATTCATAAACTTCATTAGTAAGTAAGAATAGTAAGACTATTGAATATGGGAAAGTGAAGAAGGTAGGCATCTAATCATGTGTAACCATAGAGAAAGTACACCATCATGTAGCTTGGCATGTATGAAAAAAAGAATGGTTAGCATCTAGACTTTCGTACCTTTCAGGTACGCTGTAATGGGAAATGTTGTTTCTGACCTAATTGCATAAATCATTTGACGTGTTCTCAGGTAGATTTGATCAAATCAACAAACATTTCAGAAAGGAGAACGTATGGACCGGTTTGTAAGCTATTCCAACTTTTGTAAATATCGCCGTCTATCAGCCTCAACTAGGGATGCTAGCTTGACTTACACAAGTGGAAGCCCTGGCTATACTGGCAAAAATAACAAACGCATTTGCTCTGTTCAATATTCCCATCCCTCACTTCTGATGCCTGTCGTGGCGCCTAAACACGCCACGACAGGTGTGTTTATGATTCTGTCCTCTGAAGTCACATTTTGCTGAATTGGTAGCAAAATGTCATTAACTGTGGACATTAATGTCGTCAGCCATCTGATATCTGGAGAAAGAGAGGATTAAAGACATCTGTTTTCTCCAGCACATTTGTGAAAGATCTCACATGGTTTGGCCTTTTCACTAATAATTTTTACAAATGTTGATTTTCTATTTAGAAAAGCATGGAACAATTGTTTATTAAAATCAGGTACAAACTATTATTCTTTAATATTTCTGTGAAGGGTGTATTCCCATCTTTATCTGCTGCCAAAACTAAATTATGTCTATATTAATTACTTCATTTGTGAAAGCCTCAAACCAGGTGTGCCTCAGAGTTAGAAAGTTACCAGAAAGTTGTTCGGAAAGTGACGAAAGTTGTTGCGTTGCATTGCGAGTGTGTGTGTCAAAGTTGAAAGGAAAGAGCCAGGTCCGCTTAGCGTGATGCAATATGTTTAGAGAACTTCGGCATGGCCCTGCAGACCCGTGACTGAGAATGAGCTAAGCGGTCTCTCTTGACCTGTCAGAGTTCATTAATGACTGTGATTTGTGTCTTTTGTTTGGCCTCCCATGTGTTTTAACTGCACTGAGGTAAACAGGAGCGGCCTCAGAGGACTGGCCTGACTAGAACCAAACCAGAACAGCTAATTATCACCCAGTGGCTACAATGAGCTGGACCACTGGGATTTAGGATTCTGTCGTCTGAAGTCACAAAGTGTTGTTAAACTAGTCCGGTTATGAAAAACTTTCTTTCACCCACATGTTGATGTAGCTATGCGTAATGTTAAAATAAATAAATACATAAAAACATATCATTGATATGGTATAGATATAGCTGGCTTTTAAAGTCTAATGTTGCTGGATAATTGCTGATTTAGGATTTGAAAAACTGACATTTGTCTTACAAAAAACAGTGAAGAGGCTATGATGTGAAATGTGAACAAACTTTGACACTTGGAAGCTATCAGTATGCAAAATTGTCCATTCTGCAACTTTCACCGACTAAAGACTTTGTCTTAGGGAAAAACTAAACCACATATATTGTAATATATTAAAAAGAAGCAAATGTAGAGACAGTTTTAAGGTCAAAAATCTTTTTTTTTTACAACAAAATAAAAGACGCTTCTGATTTGGATGTTCAAAAAACACGAAGTACAAAATAGAAGAAGGCCTTACCTGAATAATCAAAGGTAACAAACTTAGTCAAAGACAAAGACTTTGGAGTCATTTTGGGAAACTGATTATTTTTATTGACAGGTATAAATAGATGCAAAGCAGGTGTGACAATTAAAAACTATAACAAGGTGAATAGACATAGCAAAAACACAATACAAAACAGATAGATAGATAGATAGATAGATAGATAGACAGACAGACAGACAGACAGACAGACAGACAGACAGACAGACAGACAGACAGACAGATAGATAGATGTTTCACTTAGCTGTAACTATTTATAATTCAAACTGTTTATATACTTAACATACTTTGTTGAGGCGTCTGAATTCTTTAAAGATGTAATGTTATATTCAATAAATGTATATTGCTGCACTCACTGTAATATTTTTAATATATTTTGTAAACCAGACACTATTTCGGTCCTCACGGTCAACAAAGCTTTGCCGGACACTGCATTGACTGCAACCATTACTCGAGGGCAGCACCACTGGTATTTCTACTGTGGGGCTAATGACTCTCTGTACGTGGGATATTAATAGTTGATTTTATTTCAGGTCTGAAACCTGATGATGTGGAGAATCCAGTGCTGTATGATCATGATACGAGCCCTGAGCTCAGTCAAATGCCAGTAATGTTGTCTGATACACGTACAAATGATCAATTTGTTCGTGGTGACTTTCACTAACTAGTTTTACTGACTCTTTTAGCACCCAGAATGCAATAGTTCATAGGCAGTGCATTGCGTGAGTAGGCCCCCGTTGATGCTGTGGGAGATTATTGCCATGGGAATGGCAATGTTGCTTAGACTAAGTTAAAGCAACATTACCAGGATGATTGACGAGATATTATGACATGATACACCCTTTAACATTGATTCCTTTCAAAGTGCTCTTTAAAGTGACTATGTGCTCTGCATGCTCCAATGTGAGCTATGCTATTACCAATTTAAGACATGGTAGGTCGGACTTGGCCACAAATCTTATTCTCTGAATTGACTGAATGACAGGGGACAGTTAGTTTGTAGGTGAGAAATATATAGTATAAACTGTAGTGTTGCTGCGACTTATTTGTTCTTATTTATGTATTGTAACTGAGCACCTGAGTCTAAACACAAACTACCTCTTCTTTGCCCATGAAAAGGCAAAGAAGAGGTAGTCTGTGTTTAGAAGTTCCCTGTAAAAAGGCCTATATGGATCTGAGAAAATTCATTTGCTGTCATTAACTGTACAACCCAACCAATAAAGACAAAACGTGGCACACGATGTATATTTGAGATAGAAAACAATGAGCAGATGGGGTTTATCCTGTCTTTGAGTTGGAAGAATTGGCCATTTTCTACAGGACACTTAAACTACTGATCAGTTTTGATATTTTCAACCCATTGGCATCAAAAAGTTCTGTACTTTCAAAACTGTCGGGTTATTTTGACTGATAACGGCGGTAATATTAGATTCTTCACGTTCCACGTTCACACTCAACTTCGGCAGTTTGTTTCCAAAGAACCAACAGCCCATGAAGCAAGTTTTGACACTAATTGTTACATCTTGGCATCCTGGATACTTTGAATCGCCACTGTCATTAATGTCCTCCATGGACACTTTGGTAAACAGCAGAGCTTCCCCCAGGAACTGGATGTCTACAGCCAATCTGGAACCACTAATGAGGACCCAGTTGGACACAGTGAGAAGGACTCTTGGGATGTTGTTGCATACATCTACGTGATCAGAAAGATGCTTTGATCTGACCTAATATGATGGATCATACAAGTCATTACAGATTCCCTAGATAGCACCCAAACGTTCTCCTTAATTTTCTCTCATCACAAACAAAAGTAATTGTAGAGTTGGTCAACAGGTCAATATCTCATGAGATTCGGACAGAGCCGATAAAAGTGGAGCCAAGCCACTGAACTTTTACTACAATAAAAGTTGGTGTTTTATTTTTCCAAAACAAATTAATTTACAAATCACATGAATGGGGTGGTTTGTTTCCCATGGATGACAACCTAAAAGCCAAATTGTTTATTTTATATTTCAAAAGTAGTGGACTATGACAGCAAGCTTAAACATCAATACATTTAAATTCATAGATCTGAATTTAAGTACATCATTACCTCACCATTTTCCAAATTCTTCACTCATCCTTTAACTTTATTCAGAATTTTAGGAATGCTAAATATAAAATCTTTTTAGGTAGTTCTCAAACTTGTAGACATCATTCTGCTTGTAGAAAACCCTCTGCATCATTTCATTTGACTCAGACATTTTATGCAGCCATTGTGAACTATATTGTTGAAGAACTATATTGTTGTTCAACACATACTCAGGCATTGTCAATCTTTGCACTGGAGTTTTGCAAACATTCATCATCCTATTTTCTGCTCCATTGCACTGCTTGTTCACATACAAACAGTCTTGGTGACAAAGTCATTTGTAAAAGACAAATGTTTATCAAAGTACTCTTTTTGTGGTGTTTTCTTATATTTAGTTTATGAAAAGCAACAATTCTTCTTCAAGGTTTTCCTGAAGGGCACTTGCCACATTAAGGCTAGTGCCCTTATCATAGTATGACTAATGTGCCACCAGTCATAGTGGCACATTAAGGCACTAGTATGGCCTTAATGTCCATCATGACCCGGAAGACTTGCATCTGGGTCTTCAAATAGCTAATTTCTTCCTTCTCTGTCCCTGAACCTGCTGGCACACTCAAGCTTAATGTTATTTGTCCTACCTTTAATCTCTACATCACATAAATGCCGATGAAGATAGCCGATTTTGTTTGCATTAGCATGATTTAAAGGTTTGCAATTTATCAAATTTACTGTCCAAATACAAGGAAACATTAATAAAAATTGTATTGCCTCATTTGTTTAACATAATATGGTGAATTACTTCAGCCATTTGTTAACGATGTGTTAAAATTTAAGATGTTTCTCACTACGTTTGAAATCTCCAGTTATAAGTGAACTATGTGCTTGTTTGTACAATTTTGTAATTTATGCCTTCATATTTTTGCAGTAGTGTAGAAAGGGAAAACTGTGAACATGCGTTTTGCCCTGTTTAGATTTCTTTTTGTAACACTTAAATGTTTAAGCTATAATCAAAACAATTTTCAATGCAAACTGTAAAACAGCTGAAACACTGAGTTCTTTTAAATCCAGACTAAAAACTCATCTGATTTTAGTCTTTGAACTGCAACGTACTTGTTGTGTGTTGTAGATTTTAAAGACGGCACAAAATGACAGATGTACTTGATGTGGGTGAGTGATAGAACCATTAAAATACAAAATTATTTATGTGTGAGAGCTGAGTGTTTTTAATGTACAATTATCAAATTTTTCAAATTAAAAGACTGAAAACAAGGAAAATGTTATCAGTCTCTGTCAATCTTTTTAGAAACTGGTGGTTGATTTTTGGCCAGTTTTACCTTCTGACATTATCTTGTAAACCTGTGCGAGGAAAATGATGCTAATGTTACTACAAAAAATAATCAAAATCTATTTTATGGCGACTATATGGATATATAAGTCACATTGGTGTATTAACACGCATACTGCATGGTTGACAATGCAGTGTGTGGGAGCCATGTTTTCTTCCATCTCTTCCTGTGCGCGGCCTCTCCGTTTCTGTTTTTGTGATTGTGGGATCAGCGGTAATCTCCAAAGAGGCGACCCACTGACATTTGCACCAGAATAACTCCAAACACACGCACACACACGCACCCAGCTGCAAGCAGCTGGCGTCTTCAGCGCCCAGATGTTAATGTAACGTAGCTACGCATTTATTCCATTTTTGTCTATTTGTCAGAGCAACATGAGGACCACTTGCCACCAAGTTGCCCTTTACATCCCAAATGGGGAGCTTTAAAAAAGTAAGAAAGTGCGTTTTAGTTCTCCCTTTCAGAAAGTTCAAGGAGTATTTGCATACAGTTAAACACTTGGATAATCGGGTCAAGACCTAATCTGATATCAGGTTAGGTTAATAGATTATGTAAACAAAGGTCCTCACTAAGAACAGTGTGTGGGTTTGTGTGTCTGTGGCTAAAAGCGGCGACCGACTAAGAAGCTTTGTGATCCGCTGAGCTACATAGAACGAGTAAAACAGGAAGGAAGTAAAACAAAATTTGAAAAAGAGAAATTCCCTTACAACACAAAAACATAAAAAAAATAACTAGTACAATGGATTGAGTCCTATACAAAAGAAAACAAGAAAAAGATTTGAGAATTTCACAGAGAAAGAGGGATGAAGTGGCGGCGGAGAGGGAGAGGTTGGTAGATTAAGCCGGGTTAAAGAGGATTAGTGTCAGGTTGGGTTTGGTTGTAAACTAACCTCCATGTCAGTCACTTTTGGCTGCGGCTGACATGCTCACACTGCTGATTCCCTCCGTCTCAAATCAACACGCTCAGGAAACCCAAACCTAACAGAGAAGGGTACATTGGATGCTGTTGTCTGTAAGCTGACCGGATGCAAGTAAGTTTTTTTTTTTTTTATGCATTTAAATGTACAGATGAGAAAAATACTGACTAAACTGGTTAACATTAAATCAGACGTCCACTGCAACTGTATTGATGCTGTATGGTGTACACAAATGTAACTGTTTTTAAAAAATAAAATTAAATCAAGCAATTATTGTCTTTCTCACCAGGCAAAATGCCAACAAATTGTTTTATTCAAGTTCATTCAGTTTATTTTGCACAAATGTGATCTCAAGGCACTTTACAAGGCAAATGGATCCGACTTATAGCCAGAATGTATCAATCCAATCAAATAGACAGCTACCCCTATAGTTAGAATATAGTGCAGCTTTTCACTGTCTAACAACTAATGAGATGTTATCAAAGGAAGCCTTCCTGACTGCGTGGGGTCGTTGACTTAGGAGAAACCCTTTCTGTTAAACAAGAATATGGTCACAATGGACATTAGGAAGCAGGTTCATAGAAAATACAGAATAACCTGGTAAATAGGTATAAAGCAGTGATTTCCTCACCCTATCTCCAGGCCTTTCAAAAATACCACTATTTTTTTCTGTAAATACCATCAATCAAATTTCAAATCACTGCTTGTTTTTAATTTATTATCCATCCAACCACTATCTTCCGCTTTGGGCTGTTGGGATAGCAACCTCAGTAAGAAGGCTCAGACTTCCCTCTCCCCCCAGTTTGGGCCAGCTCTTCCAGGGGAACCCTAAGACAGTCCCAGGTCAACTAGGAAGCACAGTTCCTCCAGTGTGTTCCGGGTTTTCTTCTGGGTCTCCTCTCGGTTAAACATGCCGGGTACACCTGACCTTGGAGGCCTCCCAACAAGATGCCCAAGCCAGCTCAGTTGACTCCTCTCGACATGGAAGAGCAGCAGCTCTACCCTGAGTCCTAACCGGATGACTGAGCTTCTCACCCGTTCTGTCAGTGACCACCCAATGTGTGTGACTACAGATCAGGATAGGAATGTAGATCTAACTGGTAAATTGAGACCTTTGCCTTTTTGACTCTGCTTTCTCATCACCACAACAGACCTGTACAGACGCTGCGCCAACCTGCCTATCAATCTCCTGCTCCAGTTTCCCCTCATCCTTGAACAAGACCATGAGCTACTTAAACTCCTCCACTTGGGAACATGATTATATGTGCTTGTTTTTCCACAGATGCCAAAAGTGATAAGCATTAAAGTCAGCAACTGCCTTCTGTCTGTCCACCTTAATTTGAGCTGCTTTAGGCTATGACAGAAAGCTCAGATGAGCCATCTGTCAACACCTCCAGCCACAAACTGAAATCAAAACCAGGGACCACCAAAGTGATATCGATTAGAGTTTTGACAAGGTCAGTTTCCTGACCTCACAAAAAGCATTAATAGCATATCATATACAATATTTAGATACCTGAACTACTAAGCTCATCTTTCGTTTGAGAACATTGGGGTTTTGTCTTGTTCTTGGGTTAGGGGTTAGGGTTAGGGTTAGGGTTGTTGCTTACGTTTACTCTTTGATTGAAGTGATATCATGGTTCTCTTTGGCACCAGTTGACCTGTTTCAGAAAACAGGCATACCTATAAAACATGTGATGTCTAAATACATTGTTTTAAGTTTGCATTATAAAAAAATGTCCTGACCACACAGGGCAATATTTCTCTGTGATAACATCGTAATGTGTTTTGTGTGATTTCTTTACAGGAGAATTAGCGTTTTTTTCTTCTATGGTGGTTCTGGATGATCACCATGAGAGAAACTATGGAGGATGGTGAGAAAACAAACACGTTCCGAGACACGCACCTGTATCAGACCTTCAATAGAGTCTGACATATCTGGCACCTTTTTTCAATTAAGACAAAAGTGGAGCCAACTCAATGAGCTTGAGATAACTCAATTAATATTGGTTATTTAAACAATATGATTGGTAGTTAGTACCCCTATTGTTACCACTTTGCAGACAGGGCAGTACAATTCTCTCTAGATTGGTTAGGGTCCTAGATACTCTAAATTTTCTGCTGCTCAGCCAACAGGCATGTTGCACGTAGGTCTGGGGAGTGATATGGCAATGAAAAGTTGTTTTTGTTGTTCAAATATCAATTTCTTTGTTCATTTGGCCATATATTTTCAATCAATGTGAAGAACCCACTGACTTTTGGGTTTGGCCTCTGGGTTTTAATTGAAAAAGCCAAAAGAGTTCATAATGCCATGCACTGCGTCGACTGTCCTCTAGATACATAAAAAAACATGCCATGTTCTGTCATCTAGAACATTGCTTCACTGATGCACACACATTTTTAAGGAGATCTAAGGGGGGAAAAAAGCCTATGAGATTTTTGCCATGATTTTCTGACACCACAAAATCACAGCTGTTTAGAAATTTTACTTGTATTTGGCATTACAATAGCCAGTAGCATAATGATATTCTAAGGTTTTTATTATGTTATGCTTGCAGGGATCAGCGAAGTGTTATCCAGTGTTGTGGAGGATGTTGGTGAAGCCGTCAATAGAAACATTAGTGGCTCTCAGCTTCTGCATGAACTACTGAGCGCTCCATGGCTCCGCGCCTTACTAAAGGTCTTTCTATGTTTTAGCAAAGCATGCAACCTGCTATCCAGCTGGGTAATTCCTATACAATCATATGTTTTACCTCTTCAGATTTACGAGTGCCTGATGCAGTTCCAGAGATTGTCACCAAGTCCTCTTCTACCTTGTGCCTCCGGACTCTTATTTGAGGTGAGAAAGGGAGGATTCACACCAGCTCTGTGTACTCCAATTTGATCAAACTCTAGTTGTTTGCCTAGAGAGTCTGTTTTTTTTCTGGGGAGGTGTGGCTCTGTAGTCCAGCTCTGATTTGGACCACAGAATTAAGTCTCAGTTTGGTTGAAGTGAACACTTATGCTATTCGAATGTTTGTGAACGCCTGGTTTAGTGGACAGACTCACTGCATAGTAAACAGAGCATGCAGAAGCGTCACTAGCGTTAGCGGCTAACAGGCGATGTCCAAACCAGTAATGTATATGAATGAAGAAATCCTACAATGACTAAAAGCTGACGCCGCTCCGTTTCTGTTTACTATTTGTGAAGAAGGAAGTTGCGCTGGTCTTCTTCAGAGGTTTTGTGTCGATTCCTTCAGTAGTTCTTGGTGCACAGGCAACAGGGGGAAACAGGTTTTCAGTTAGTTTTAGTCGTTGACACAGTGCATTTTGAAAGCAAACTATAGTGCTGAAAATGTAACAGATGTTGCCATTTTAGTCCCCAACTGAACCGAGTCCACAGGACTATTTGGTCTGAATGCACCCTAAGTTTTACAAGATGATCTGTTTCTTCTGACATGGTCTACATAGCCTTTCTAGCTGTGTTGTTCATATTGTCATGTTTTATCTGCTTATTAACCAATTATTTTTACAACTTCATATCAGGACCATGAATATCAAACTTCCCAATTCTTGTAAGCCTGACAGTTGATTTAATAGTATTTTTTGGATTCTAGAGAATCTCAGTTATTTTTGTCAAACTAATAAATACGCTAAACTTTGTAGGTGTAATAAGGCAAACTACAAAAACATTAATTGGGAGGAAATATGTTCATGTCACTCTGTTCCCTGTCATATTCATTCAGGTATCAAACATTGTCAGAACGTATGATTCACTATTCATCCATTTCCTTGCCTGTTTCGTCAGATCATGGCCATCATACAAAGAGCGCACCGTCCTTCGGCTGAAGCTCGAGCTCTACAAACTCTCAGCTCACCACATGTCCAGGTTTGATTTTGGATTCCAGGAGAACTTCCCTACCTAAATCATTGTTGATGTTGTCTGAACATGCATGAATGTGTCCACTAGGCCCTCCTTTCATCTCACGACAGCGTGGCTCAGTCTGACTATTTACCCGTCCTTTCTCCGCTTCCCGATGAATTACCAGAGGACGAGGAGGCCATGAGGATCGTTTGTCTTGTAAAGAACAACCAGCCTCTGGTGAGATATAAGTAGAGTTTCTGTAAGAAAAAACATAAAGACATTAGTGAATATAGTGTAATTTTTCTTATCTCTTAACCATTGCTTAATTGATTTCCTGAAAATGTTCAAAGACATAATATTTCTTCGTTGTAAAGGTTGTTTATTCCAAGAATGTGAAGCCCAAACAGAAAATGACAACTGACCAAAAACCCTCTTAAAACCCTAAGAAAAACCTGAGTTTCTTCTTATTCATGCTCCAAGAGTGAAAAGGGTTGCAGAAGTTCAGAAGACCGGGTCGGAGTGGTCTGTAGCCGTTGGAGCAGTCTTCGTCGACTCACGTTGGAGCGCCTGATCCCCGCAAGGAGGGCGTGGTCTGGGGAGGAGCTTAGAATGGCCGAGAGCGAGGCTAGGCCTCTGCCTCTCCACGGACATCCGCCTTGCCACTTTCTTCCCCGTTACGAGTCGACGGGAAGTTGTCGTTTATGTCCACAAAACACAGAACTTTGGAAGCAAGGGCTCAACCACTCGGCTCCGGCTGCCTTGAACCCAGAAACATGTTCCGGTAAGAAAAGAACCAGCCGGTGTTTTGTCTCCATTGTCACCAAAATCACAAGGGTGAAAAATTATGATGACTCAACCCATCACCAATCATCATCGCATCCATCCAGTGTTCTTAGCATTATCCTTTCATGAAGTGAATTCATCTTTATCCTTTAAACATTTCATAGGAACAACATCCATGCATCTTCACATCAAATGCACATTCATTCCTTTCATCATTTCCTTCATGCCAACATGAAACCTTGGAAAAGAAACATCACTTGACTCCATTGCTGTGCTTTCATGCACCTTATAAACTTCTGTGCTTTTCTTCTTTTGCTCTCACCTATTGGTATGTTTCAGAGAGACTTGTGCCCAACAAAGAAGACGATGCTTCTAGCGGAGGGAGCAGTGATGACTATTCTTACCCTCCCCCTCCAATCCCGGCCTACACTGTCAGTCTTCCCAACTCTCCCCTCATGTACAAAAAGGTTGCTCCAGGAGGGGAATCAAGGAGCATTCTTACTCCTGGTAGGGTCCACAGCACCAGTCATTCCTGCAACTCAATCCTGTTCTAGACAACAAGGAGTCAGCACTCTCCCAAATCCTGTGAGGCATTTTCAGAAAGAGTCTTTAAGGGCTTCATGTGCAGTCGACTCGGCTCCGCATCACAACAAACCTCAACAGCAACCGCAGAAACATCATCGACCTCCTGAGTTTGAAAAAAACCTGCAGCATGGAGGAGCTCAGGACCACGGTTCAGACCGTGACCAGCAGTCTCGAGCACAGTAGCCAGGACGTACGCCACCTGGAGCAGAAAATGGTGGCGGCGACAGAAATGATCACGGACCGCGTTGAAGAAAACGTCCAGGCCCTCAACCTTCTCGCCGAGGTGGTCGATAAGCTCCAGGGGATCATGGCCAGAGACCACCCAGACACGTCTCCTCCATGCAGGCCGAACCCGAACCGTCGGCCAACTCCGCCACCAAGAATCTCCTCGTCATCTCCGGTGATGATCCGCAAACCTCCCACGCCTTATCCAGGACGGCTCTCGCAGTCCTCTGCTTCCTCCAGCTCTTTCTCCTCCTCCTCCTCCTCTTCTTCATCTGCCGGTTCCTGTGCAGACAGTTTTGCAGGATACCGCAACCCAAAGGAACTGAACAGAGGAAACAAACTCAGCAAGAACTCAGAAGCTGCAGACCATAACCGACACATTCGATTCCACAATGGAGCGGTTGCAAGAGATCAACAAGAAGACAAGCAGGACTGCAGTATCACAGGCTGCTTGACAACAAGCAAGAAGAAGAAAGAAAAGCAGCTCTTTCAGAAATAACGTCTGCATCATCATTAGAAATGAACAAAATTGATTTGTAAGGTTTTCCTTACAAATTCATATGAACTTTTTTTCAAA